AATATTGGCACAGAGATGGGGGAGCGAGGGGCTGCTTCTATGTTTCTTTGATTATTTTTGATCGAAGAGATGGGGAAAAAACAAACAAACAAGCAAAACAAAAACAGAGAATCAAAAGAAATCAATCTTACATCACCAAAAATAATAAATAAATAAAAATTTCACATGCCGGGTTATGATGATCCAATAGCGTGTAATTACATCAAAATTTGATGGAAAATCAATAAAACCACTGTTTGACCTTCAAAAAAATAAAAAGAAATAAAGAAATAAATGAAAAAAATAAAATCAGCTGACATAAAACAAAAAGTCAAAACAAACTTCCTTCTCAAAGAAAGTCATTGACACGCACTCCTAAACACCGAGGCCTAAACGCCAACATTTTGCCTCTGCTCAGATGATACGTACCATATACGACAAATTATGCTCAGCTCTCTCCTCCACGTATCTCCCAGAGATCTCCTTCAGAGGTACAAAAAAACTCCCAAAAACAGCCCAGAATCAAGAGGTTTCGGTTTCAATTAAAATCGGAGAGATGCTACATTCAGAGAGAACCCAGAAGAAAAGCCACAAAATTAACTTGTGCACAGAAAGGAAATGCGTTTGTTCACGTCTGAGGTCTGGCAGGAGTGAAGCGATACGCCGATGAATAGTGCATGAGCGTCGAACCCGAGACTGGTAACTATAACTAGCCACCGCTGAGAGACGTCACTGTGAGCAGAATCTTCCAATCCGCGGGTTTATAAGATGCTGCAGAGCAAAGAGGGAGGAATTTTATGGGCCACGCCATCAATCTGGTGTCAAAAAGTTACTTTTTTTTATCACTTTATCTTGACCCACAACAATCTACATCAGGAAATATAACTAAACAAAAACACACGTTTTACTGTCATCTCGACGCGGCCGGGCTCTTGATCAAGGGATCAAAGCCAAACTGAGCTGGAAAGAAATGTTTGAAATGTGTGATGTTGCTGTTAGGTGAACAATATTGCCATGCCATCAATGATAGACTTCCTTCCATCACATCTTCCTTACATGGAAGGAAGATGTCAGGCCGGCCTCGCTGGAAGAATGCTTCCTTTTAATCATTAATAACTTGCAGGTCCAAACTGGGTCTTAAGACAATCACACTGTCCTTTTGTCGGCGATGGCGGAATGATGTCAAATCCTATTTGCGACGCTGTTCGCTTCAAACTTAATCGGCTTCGAGCCTGACGATTCTTGAACTGAGCCACATTTTTTGTGTCATGAGAATTTTGCAGTGATGTCCTGTATTAAAGTATTAAATTTGCAAGGCTTCAGAAAAAGAAGAGCGGAAGATCAAACGAACGCACAAAGAAAACGCAATTCTCATTTCCCTACAGAGCTTAATTTGTTTTTTTGGGATTTTTTTAAGTGACAGATGAACACAAAAGTGGTGCATACGTAAAATGAGGCATGTTTTCATAATTATATAGATATGCACATATTATTTCTACATGCAAACAAGTTGGATTTAATAACTTGAAGTGATTTCAGATGTAGCAGCCAAGAGGCCGACAGTGTCCTCGGTGGAACTGCAGAGATCCACAGCTCGGGTGGAAAAGTCTGTCATTGTGTTTACCATTAGTCATGCATCTTCAAGGAAGATTTGTGAAAAGATGGTTGTTACTGAAGGGAAGAGGTAAAAAGTCAGGATCAACGTTGACTAAAAGCCAGTTTTTGGAAACAGCAAAGATGTAGGAGAAGATCTGGTCCAAATCTACATGTAAAGCACTAAGCATAGTGGAAAAACTACTACTGCACACATCAGCACAGCACCTATTTGGTAAGACATGGTCATGGGAGCATCATGCAGAGTTAGATGGAGATGAATACATGTAAATCCTGGGATACAACAAATTATTGGCAGTGAAGCATTTGGGACTGTGACAGAATGTCTCCTCCTTGCAGAATACTGAGCGTGCAGCCAGATCAAAAACACATTAGAATGGTCCAGTCAAAGTCTAAGAATCAATTGCAGGCTTTAAAAATGCTGTGTATTTAATCTGCCTGAGCTCGAGCTACTATGCAAAGGAGGGCTGTCAAAAATCAAAGACTGAGTGGTTCAACAAAGCCAGCAATTCAGAAAAGGTCAAATGCGCAACACGACTGTGTGTCCATCTCCTTTCGGACCGTCACATAAAATGGAAGCGGGGCAAAATTTTCCGTTGTGAAGCAAAACGTGTGTGTGTGTGTGTGCGTGCGTGCGTGCGTGCGTGTGTGTGTGTGTGTGTGTGTGTGTGTGTGTGTGTGTGTGTGTGTGTGTTTGGAAAGCGATGCGTGCGTAAGAAACGCGCACGGCTTCGTCAAAGCGACTTCTGCTCGACTGCCTCTTCTGCAGAGGCGGCCGGCTCATCGTCTCATCAATTACACATCGGGCCGCTCTGTAAGCCATACATCACAGTCTAAAGTTGCTGGTGTCCGATGAGACAAGGCGGTGAATTATTGATGCCGCCCGGTCACTGTTGCATGCGGCATCCTCTTTATGAGAAGGTATACGATGTTCACAACAAAAGAAATGACCGTAAAACAGCAACGATGACACGTCATCGGTGGCTGAACAGAAAACCCAAACATCGTGGGCACGTTTATGAACGTGCAGCTCAACACATGCAGTGCGATACGGTTGTAGTTCAAGTAAAATATGAAGGCACGTTTTATCATCATTATCATTATCATTACTATTATTAGGAAGTTCATTTTCCAGCCGGAACCCTGCGTGGCTGTCATCAACCGATTGCTGCTGTGTTGATGGCATCCGCTGTTAATTACACGACTCAGTCGCAGCTCAGAGGGGTGAAGGCGACGTCCCAGTTCCTCTGGGTGCAGCTGGCAGCCATGTCAGCAACCGTGCCAAGTTACCAGTTGCGTTGCAATGGAAGACACATGCCTCTTTCTTTGATGGGTCGTGTCGTCGCGGCGAAGTTTAAACACTCAGGCTGACACCAGCTCTCAAATGTCTTTGGTTTATCAGAGAACGAACACCTCGGAAACCAGAAGGTGGACGGTACGTAACTGTTGCGTTCGGTGAAGGAAAGGAAGGAAAACGCGTTTCCAGATTTTTCACATGAGGGACATGTGAATGTGCATCAGAAAGCGAACCAAGCCTTAAAACTGACACCTTTAATAATAGGGGCCAAGGTGAACCACAGAATGACTTGATACGGACCGTGCAATCTTATCCCATGGAGGTCCTGTGGCCACAGTCCTTTTCTTCTATTGGTTGTAAGGCCGATGATGATCAGCATCTTATTTGTGCTCCAGTGACTCTGTGGGCACGCCACCTGACTGCGGTGTAGTGTGTCCGTATTGCACATTTCAGTGCGCGGCCCTGGCAAGTGAAGGGCATTGTTGTCGACGAGTCAGAGGGGAAGCATTACTGCACGCAGGGCCCAGTTGGCTTCTGAACTGAAATTACCCCAAAAACTTCTGGAAACACAAACACACAGCGTCTGGATGACTTACGTGTAAGAAGAAGCTCTAATAAATGTAAACCATTAGAACTGATGATGAAAAACAAATGGTTTCTCTTCACAATGTTTATTTATTTGCCAATAATCGATTAGTATGATTTGTTCTTTAAATTGCCATTTATATTTTTCGGCCTCAGGAGATGATTGACGGATGAAGAGACGCTGATGCCTGGTTCTTTAGGTTCTGCAGCGTTCCTCTCCTGACCCACTCTGTCTGATATAGAGGAATAGTAGGCCATTACTCCAGTGTCTATAAGTTGTTGATTGTCCAGATGTTTTGTGCTGCCATTTATTTATTTAACAAAATATGTTCCCTATCGTGAGCTTCGGATTGCATAGATTAGTTTAAACCTGATACAATTCATAAAAAATGAATAAAATGTTCCTGAAAATCAAGGTCATTGTCATAAGCATTCTACTATTGGTTATAGATTAATAGATTAAAGGGTCTAAGTTAGTGAAGCTTTTTCCCCACTCATCAATATATGAAATGCTTAACCCATAACACTTTGTTTTATAAATTACATCGTCTCATCTTCGAGTTTTGTCTTTCAGAGCTTTCGGCTGGAAGTTGCACTTGGGTTAGTCTACATGCTAAAGGAAACCTCAATCAATTGAATATTAGCCAGGCTGTTTTAACACATTGTATTCATTTCTGTTGCTTGTGTTTCCTAAACTGTGCTTTCCATGGATTTAAAAACAAAAAAACCCAACAAAAAAACAGGATTATTTATGTCGATCTTAAATTAGACTTGAAAAAAACCCTGCATAAATCAGAGATTGTTAAGCAAAAAAAATGACTAAAGATGGATTTGTGACAGACAATATGGATTGTGACCAATTTATTCATAAATATTAAAACAGTAGCATGGCAGTGCTTTGTTCATGTAAATGTCCGGGTGAGCTTAGCTGGAAGTGGGCCCCAAATGGCATTTTGCTTGGGGCCCTATATAATCTAAGACCAGCCCTGCTGACAGACCACCTTCTTCATTCAAATTGTATAAGAAGAAGAAGAAGAAAAAAAAAGTATTTTCAGGCTAATTTGGTTTTTTGGCAACATTTGTTCCATAGATGTTCTGTAAGGAAATGCAGCTCATTCATTCAACTACCTAACGCTGTTCCATGAGTAGCAAGATCTCCATCTGGTGGTCATACACTCTCACTCTAAGACTGAGGAATTATGGGTAAAAAAAAAAAGGCACCCTTGCCTCATCCACTGTGTAACCAACACAGGGAGTTAATGTCCAAATATTGCGTGTTTCTGAACATTACGCCACGGTTGTCATAGGAATTATTCGTATAGACCCTGTTCTAGGCATCACTTCCTTTTTCCTTTCTGGTGTCCAGGAAATGCTGGTCCTCTTTGCCTGCTTCCAGCATGCAGGAAGAGCTGTGGGGGATTTAAAGTGACAGCAATAGAATAATGTGAAAGTAAAGCAGAGCAGCTCACAAGGGTGAAATCTTTAAAGGGGGAGTAACCCATTAATAGACAAGAATGACCGAGGCTCAGGGTCTTTGCAGACCTTCCTATCAACCCAGAGGAAAATGTGAAGATAGAAAAAAATAACAATAATGATCCCAAAATCATTGGGCAGGGTTCTGACTGAATGTGTTTTTCCTTTTCTTGCTCTCCAGTCCTTTGTGAGACACAGATGGACAAGCAGCTGATGCAGGAGGCAGTTTTCCTCTCTGCGCACTCATGCTAGGACCCGAAGGCATCTTGAAATAGAAATTCAGAGGAGGAGGAGGAGGACAGAACGGAGGGAGAGAGAGTGGAGGGGACATGAGAGAGAGCACTGCTATGCCAGGCTCAATACCTAGCATGGCTGTACAGAAGAAGCAGAGTGTCGTCCCTCCATCGCAGGGGCCACTTTCTACATCGACTGTCCAGAGCCAGAGGGTCGGACACAGACCCGAAGGAACGCGAGGTTAGTGTCTTCTATCCTAAAATAGCATTTAGGTAGATTTCGATCAAGAACACGATCTCAACCCAAATAAAAAAAAAAGACCAAACCACCAGGAGAGAATCATAGTTGAATGATCTGACCTGAACGAGAACACCTGGATGTCTGAACTCTCGTCGTTTAATGTTTAATGTGCATTTTCTTCTGACTTTGTTTTGCATTTTCATTTTGCTCGTGTCTGTTGCGTTAATGGGTACTTGTCAGGTGCTGGCCTTTTAAATGCTGCCTCTTTAATAATGGTTTCTTTTATTTAGTGCTCAGCCTGAGGCCAGCATGTTTTAACAGCTTGTTCAAGCTGATGTTTTCAGGCCTCTATATCCATGGCACATCACATGCTCAACTGAGACATTTCTGTTTACAGACAAGGGATAAAACCAGAACAGGAGGGTAAAAAAAAATAAAAATCAGTATTAGAATATGTAAACAACAAATTTCTTTTTTTTTTTTTTAACCGAGTTATCCCCCCTTTCGCTTATTTACAGAGAATGGCTCCTATTTCAAAGCGAGTCCTCCACAGACGAATAAAACGACCAGCTCTGCCAACAAGTCCGTCCAAATCTGCAACGCTACCCTGCGGGTTTGTGCAGGTTAGTCACCACAAAGCCAGCCCAAGGCATAAGCAAACTAAACCTATGTACACTAGCCATCTTGGGGCACACGTAGGTCATTTTGACCCTTTGCCGTTTTGCACCTTTATGTTTTTTGTATGGGACAAATGAGACAACTCCAACCTTATTTATATCCACCTTTGGGACATTTTGTATCCACTTGAGCAACCAGTGACCAAAGGAAAGTTTGCTTGTCATCACCTGGAAAGAAATGCTATACGACCGCACAGACAGAAGATAGAAAGTTTTTGGAAAATATGAATTGGATTTAATACATGCGAGATTTGACCACAACTCTTGAAAGAAACGACAAAGTGAGCTGACGTTCAATGATCAGAGGGTGTGACATGCGCATGCAGTGCATTCATTCGGTGCTTTCTAAACATTGAAGTCGGCTAAAAACCTTCAAATGATAATAATAATAATTTAACGCTGCTATTCCTGATGCTTGTTTCCCAGCTGGGCTCACATTTAAAAGCGCAACGCAACATTTTGAAGACAGATTTCAAGAAGCGAAACAGCAAGTAGCTACTGGAAACGCTCCAATCTTCTTTAGCCCAAATGCAATCAATTTATGAAGCGACTAAGTTGCTGAAGAGTCAGTCGGCATCATTTATTCCAACTTGAACTCTGTGGTGACTTTGCTGGCAAAGCAAATTGACCTCGACCTTGAATCAGCACCGCTGAGTTTTGCGTCGTTTCCGGCTGCGTGTTTTCACGATTCATCGTCGCTTAACGATCCACTTTCTATCTTCCTTTGCAGCTGGTAACGGGCTGAACGTCGACGAACGGCTGAAAGCAGCGCGAGAAAGACGAGAGGAGCAGCAGAAGTTGCTCGGTACGCACGCGCGCGCGCCGCCGCAGCGCATCAATTAAGAACGCGCAGCGCGAGACTACTTCATCATCTTCTTCTTCCTCTTCTTCTTCTTCTTCTTCTTCTGCTCCATTCCCTCTCAGTCTCCCGGGAGCTGAGCCGACTGGAGCGGGAGCAGCGAGCCAGGCGCTACTATGAACAACAACTGCAGGAGCGGAGGAAGAAACTCCTGGAGCAAAGGCTGAAGGAGGAGAGGAGGCGCGCGGCCGTGGAGGAGAAACGCAAGCAGAGGCTGAGGGAGGAAAAGGTGAGTTTTTTTTGTTCGTACTTAATAAAAAAAAAAATAAACAAAGCAAAACAAAAAACAAGGTTTCATTTTATGTTTCTGAATGGAGGAGCGACATGAAACCACCGTGCGCAGGACAATAGAGAGGAGCCGGAAGGCCCAGCAGCAGCTCAGTCAGAGCTCCAGAGGCAGGAAGTCCGTTAAAAACGGTACTGGGAGATGCGCGTACTTTCTCCTTCCTGCGTCTTTTTTCTTTTCTTTTAACTCCGTTTCTCTTTAAAATAATAATAATAACAAAGTCTCTCTTAAGGCTGCAGGCTCTTTGCTTATCTGTCGCTTTTGCCCTACTTACAAACTTCCCACTGATCAATGCGCCAGCTCCGCGTCGCGTGCCTCTGACGGCGTGGGAGAGAGATCTGGTCAGTCGCCTCCTCACCCCGACATGCTCCTATCTGGCCAGAAGCAAGAGCGCCGCCTGTAGGTCCGGAGTAGAAAAAGGTACCCCCCCAGGTCTCCCCCAACCGGAAATGTTTTTCCTGCTTTAACACTTGGCACATTTTCTGAGCTGACCACCGCTGCTCTGTGTTTCCTCCACGTATCGTCCTTTCCCATCCTCACGTTCCACCGAAACTGCATTTTCATTCATTCGTTTTTCTTTTCACACTTGGCTCAGTTGTCCATGTTTGTCGCCGTGCAGCGTCGTGCCAGCCAACGGCTGCCACCCCATCCTCCGCCATTCTCACTCCCAAACCCCGACATCAGTCAGTCCCAGTTTCAGTCCGCCGCGGGCCGCCTGCCTGGCCTCCCTGCACCGGCAGCCAGCAACCTCACATCAGCCCCGCACAGGTGAAACCCACCCCTTGTTTTCAGAGCAACAGCTATAAACTTCAATGGAGTTTTTGTTTGTTTGTTTTCTTGAGTTAAAGATGTATAGTCTTGATTACAGCCACACGCCACACTTTTCAGATGTCTCAGACACACTGAAGTTTGTAGTGGAAATGTCACAAAATGTGAAACAGTTTAGAGAGTGTTGGGTTCTATGCATTCTGCTAACGTCTTCGGCTTGATCTAGACTAAAAAGGCAAGACAGGAAGCCGTGAAGAAGACCCCCGAGAGCGCCTCTGCCAAAAGATTGTCCGCTTCTGCCGTCAATGGTGTGAAGTCGCCCTCCTCCGCTCTGAGCAGAACGGCCTCCCCGTCACCGGAGCGGTAGGTGAACGTCTACACCTCGTGTTCACGTCGCAGACGGAGGCTGATCCTCCCCTCTGCGGTTCGATCCTGCAGGAGTCCCAGAAGATCCGTCAGCAGGCACTCCACCCCCCTGCACCTCGAGCTCCCAGCTGTTCCCGAGGAAGACGCTGCCGTTTGCTTCTCTGCTGGTAACACGCGGCCTGTCAGCGCACCAGATGAAGGTCAACAACAGACACACAGGCAAGAGAATCTCACTGAGACGCCATGTCTAAAGCTGCCTGACGCACAGGCAGAGGGCTCCACCGGGACAGCAGCAGATGGAAGTAAGTGGAAGAAATGTTTATAAAGAAAATGTTTAGATGTAATGATCGGAGTTATTGCTTTGTTCTCTCTTCATGTCCTTATATAACCTCTCCTCGGCCTGCAGAGGTCATGCTTCGTCCTTCAGCTGGCACCACCGACCCGAAGGAGGCCTCGCGACTTCTGGCTGAAAAGAGGAGAGAGGCCCGCATGCAGCGGGAGAAAGAGGAGCAGGAGCGCCTGCAGAGAGAGGAAGCAGAAAGGTACAAAAAAGAACTAAATTCTAGCATGGTGAAAAAAAAATTGACAAGTGTATTATGGCCATTTTACATACAAAAAAAAAGGATTAGTACATTTCTGCCCAAACTCCTTTTCTAGAAAATAGACCTTGGAAATTTATACATTTGAAAAATCAAACAATTTGCTAGGAAAAGAAAAAAAATATTCTGAAGTTACTCTGAGAAATTTTCTAGGAAAAACAAAACTTGGAAACTCAGACGTACCTTGTTTTTGGATTAATCTCAAACTTTTGTTCAGTTTTTTGGCAGGAATTTACTCCTCTTTTTTTGTTCCATATAAAATGACCCCAGTACGCTGTCATAAAAATGCGCTTTGTGCAGATGGTCTGGAACCCTCAGCTATTGAGAAACGATTACTTCCTGCAAGTGTAGACTTTGTTGGAAGTTTGAAATTTTACCCGACTGCTAACGTTTGGTCATGAAGTACGTAATGATGCTAGCTTACTGGAAATTGCCTGAGCTGTAAACAACCATCCTCCACTGCAAAGAGGGAAGAATCCAGCCAACCAAAATGGCTGCTAATGTCAACTCAATATTTGGAAGTGTGGTCAACACTCACTGGAGGGCCATGTTAACATCCTCTGCTGCTATGGCTAAAATTGCAATCAGACTGCAACTTTAAAGTCGCGCAGAAAATCACCGTCATCATTCACAACTTCTCCTATTTGCTGATTGGTCAGAGTCTACCGGAGAAATCCAAGTGAATGGGAGAAATCCCAGATGGAGCAATGAAGGGAGATTACGAACTGAGTGAAAGTGACCACCTCGACAATTTCACTGCAACTTCTGTTCAGGCGGAGCCGCGAGGAAGAGCAGCGCAGGAGGGCAGAGGAGCAGGCTCGACAGGAGGCCGAGGCCAGGCGTCTCGTGGAGGAGAAGAGGAGGAGAGAGGAAGAGGACCAGAGAAGAGCTGAAGAGGAGAGAGCTCAGGCAATGAGGGAGGCCGCCCTTCTGCAGAAGCAGGTAAACACATCGTCTTACTGTCCCGGGAGAAAGCATCGCAGTGCAGCAGGCATCGTTTTCGTTGGCTTATCCGTGTCCGGACGTTGTTTTCACAGAGAGAGGAGGAGCTGGCCAAAGAGCGAGAACGAGCTGAACAAATGAAGCAAGAGCGAGCGATCGCTGCACAGAAAGAGGAGGCCGAGCGCCAAGCAAGGAAAAAGGTTTGCTTCTACGGAGACATGCAAAAGCAGTCATGCCCTTTGAACTTTTACACATTTATCATTCATAAAAGTGTATGAATAAATATGTTGCACCTTCTTGAATTTAACTACATAAGCTGAAAGTTGTTGACAAAGGATCGGTCAGACATTAAAAAAGGATCCATGATTGCACACCTGCAACGCTGGCCTGCGCTTTCTCAAACGTTTGATGCGATTGCTGGGCCAAAAGACTTTTATTTTTCTTTTTTTCCTCTTTGCCGGATGTTATTATTGATGAAAGTCAGTAGAAAATTAAGAAATACAGAAACCTGATTGATAAATATGTGGGGGAAAAAACCCAAACATTTTCTGCATCATTTTATTGTATTTTGGGATGATTTTGCGTGAAAATTTTCCAAAATTTAAGAAAAGCGTCCATCTGCATGCGCCTGCATGCAGTTTCTGCAGATGCTGTGCCACCAGGCCAGACTGGCAGTCATACTTTGTCTTCTTGTATATGCCCACTTGTTTATAAAGTGACAAAACATGTGCAGGAAGGAGGATTTTCACTTTTGCCAACCAAGAGATAACGGCAAAAAAGAAAACAAGTTGTGTGTTTTTGTTGCAACGTTGTCTTTTCCAGCGACTTGAGGAGATCATGCGGAGAACCAGAAGAGCAGATTCACCAGATACGGTGAGATTTACTGATCAGCTCTTTTATTAATTTTCTTCTTTTTTTTTCGATAAACAGTACAGAGCCTCGGGCCTCTTGTGACGCACATCCAACGTCGGCTCATGAAAAGGCTTTTCCGTCCCCAGCCTTGACTAAAGCGTTTGAATATCTTTTTAATCACAGAAATCTGTGTCGGCGCGGATCCTACCGAAGGAGAACACACAACCTCCGCACAATGGGACGATAGAGGACGCCGCCAAGACGCCGGTGGGGACTAAAGCCGCTCAGCTGGGGTTGGGCAACGAGGTCGACGTGGTACCTGTGGTGGCCTTCAAGGAGCGGCGATCCCTCAGGGCGCTCTCGGGCCTGGAGGAGATCCAGACCAAACAGAGAGCGGGTGAGAGCGTGATCCAATCCGAGTAACTTTCCAACTGGTGCCGATCGTCTTATCATTTCTGAGTCAGGATTCATCTCTATGAATGAAAATAAACATTTGCTTCTCCGTGCCTTTTCTCTCTCCTGACTTTTTTTTTTTTCTTTCTAGAAGTCATCTGAGGTCGTCGTGAGGCGTCTACTGTCCGGGGAAGTCTTCAGAAAAAGCTGCGTTTTTATTTTTTCCCCGCGCAGCTCCAGCACAGCCGTCCCGCTTCCTTTCAGCGCCTCCAAGGAGCATGCAGCATTACAGCTTCGCCTCTCGGCGAGGATGTCTCGCAGTAGCCAGCGGCACAAAAATAACAAAAAACAAACAAAAACACTCAGCAAAGTTCTCATCCCTTTACAGCAGGATTCGAATCAAACAGACTCAAAGTGAGGCGTCGCTGTACTTTCTGCTGTTAGTTTGCTAGTGGATGCAGTCGGTTTGAATAATTGCTATTTTATCAGTAAGAACTTGTCCAGATTTTGTTTTTTAGCTTAAGCCTGATATTACTTACTGCTGACTCAGCACTACTTTTCCTTTTCCCCCCTCAGTGGAACTTGAATGAAATCGAGATGCGGTTCAGAGCTCGGTGTCGCCGCGTTGCGATCTCAATCTTGAACTTTTGTCAAATATAGCAATCGTATATATAAGAAGCTACTACAACGGTACGGTTTCCAAAGATGGGCTTTTAATTTTGTGTGTATGGTATCTTATAGGCGAGAATGCAACAATGCCTTTTGTTTTTATTTCTGTTTTGCACTCAGTTGCTTCAGACAGCTGTAGGTTAAAAGCTTTTTAAGCAGAGAAATGCATAAAAATTGTGTCTTAAACTTGATCCTGTACCTTAAGGACTGTTCTAGACTATCACATGTTAGCTTTACAAAAGTGTTCAAGTACATGGCAGATATGATTAAAGCTGATGCCACATCTGTGTCCTTTTCTTCTGTTTAAAGATAGATGTGTAAAGCAAATACAAATATAAAAACGATTTTAGAAAAAAAAGCAGCATGTGCATAGTGAAAAAAATAAATAAATAAATCAACGTTTTGCATCAAAGTAAGCACCTTGGACTGTTCGTAAAAATACTAAGCAAGTCGACGATTAGCCAGAAGATGTCGGCGGCGGTATCATTCACGGCAGCCGTCTCGTCTCGTCTCGTCTCCTCCGTCTCTACGACAGCAGAGCCTCCAGCTCACCGTCGGACACCGGCATTAAAAATTCTCTATCTGCAGACGAACAGGACAAACAGGCTATAAAACGCTTCTTGTGCAAAAAGACATTCTTTTAATTTCATGTAAAACATAAAATTTGTCCCTTTAGAAAGTCTTCATGCCCATTCAATTTTCCCCACATTCTGTCTTGTTGCCAACGCCGACAAACGCCTTCAGAGAGTTACTTGTTGCAAAGGACTTTATTTAGGGGCGTCAGGTTGAAAGGGATTCAACATGAAACCCAGTGGCAGTTTTGAGATGCTTGCATGTGAGGATGTCGTTTGGATCCGTCACTTAAAATCCTCCTGAAGTGCTCTGACCTTATTATTGGTGGCAACATGAAAACATGTGAAAAAAGTGAAAGGGGTGTGAATGCTTTTTCTTCACAGGAGAATGAAACAAACAACAACAAAATCCCCACAAACCATTCTTCAGTTTAGCGATGGCAGCAATGCCAAGCTGCCGGAATCTAACATCTTTCCTTTTGAGGAAGAGAAACAAATATTTAGACACCGCGCTGTAGTGAGGCCTCAGCAGCTGGAGGAAGCCTTCTGTGGAGGAGAGGAGGGAAAGAGCAACATTTGATATAGAAACATGTACAGACAGGTGATTGCGTGGACGTGCGCTGCTTTACCCGTCAGCTCAAACATGTGCATGATGGCTGCAGAGTTGTACGACAACTCAGGGTTTCTCGTCTGTCCAGAAAGCTGCACCAGTCTCCAAAGCTGGTCGGGTGATACTGAAGTGGACAGCGTAGTCCTCAGCCCCTCTGAAACAAAGGAATTTCAAAAATACTGTAAAGACAAAAGGATGTAAGTGACTGTTTCTTTAAAAAAAACAACAACAAAAACAACATTACCCCAGCTCATCAGGTGACGTAAACACAAGGTCACGTGCAGCAACGTCTCATCTGACAGGAAAGGAGACTCCAGTCCTCGGAGCAGCCCTGATAAGCACAGGCTCTCCGTCACAGCCTGGACAACATTAACTGGATTCAGTGTAAGCTGAAGAGATAAAGGCACCGGGAGCAAACAAACTAATGAAAGGCGAGCCGAAGGCGCACCTGCTCGTCCACGCAGGCGCCGCAGAGGTCAGCGATGAGCTCGCAACTCCGTGAGATCAGAGCAGAGTTTGAGCTGGAACGATGGAGCAGCTGACCGACTTCCCTCAACAGACCTTCACTCATGAGGAGATGCTGAAAAATAAATAAATAGATGAATTCAGATTACAGGAAAGTCGTACGCGTTGCTCTCCAGAACAAACTTTTCTACGTTTTGTCACATCACGACCACAGATCTTAGCGCGTCGTATTGCGATTTCAGGCAGCAGAACGACACGCAGTAGCTCCTAATCATGAACCAAATTTTCAAATTAAAAACTGACAAAGGATTTGATTCATCGTCATTCAGACCGATTGTGTTGGTGAGTCATGTAACATCCCTATATGACACTGAGGTTTGTGGTTGTAATGTGACAAAACGTAAATAAATAAATGTTAAAGCATGAATAATTTAGTGACGTTAACCAGTTTTGAGGCATTAGGTGATTGATGAGTACTGCTATATAGTTCTCTATCATAACTATACGCTAGTGTTGGGGGCGACCATACACAGTTTGGTGGGTGTGCGGTCAGAGTACACAGCAGTTGTAAAGCTGTCTGCATCCATACAGCGTTCGAAGTTTTGAGCAGGGACTTCAGAGGCGACACACAGTTAAGCTCCATGAGATGTTCCTGGACCTGAACTGAGGACAAAAACCAGAAGCAGAATTAGAGGCTTTGTTTTAAAATAACGGCACGTACGAATGCGTGCTACCGTTCTTTGAAAGAGTGTGAAGGCATCTGCATGCTTGGGCTGCATTCTGAAAACACAAACAAACAGATAAATTCACAACTAATGGAAAAGTCGCCATTCGTCCCCCCTAACCCCCGTCAAGTTCTTAGTTACCTTTTCCACAGAGGAAGACATCAGCGTCAAAAGCGACTTGGACAAATAATGAGCCCCGACGCTGAGCAACGTTGGGTGATGCTCCTGAATGGCGGCGATGTTGCAAAGAGCTGTGCAGCTGTAAAACTGAACCTCTGACCTGGAGGACTGCAGCAGCAGAACCAGGACGGGGACGCCCCCTGCTTGACACAGAGCTCTTGTCGAGCGATCTGAAATAAAGAAAAGAAAATTGGGCCTGCTGAAAGACCAGACTGGCCGCTCACATTTACACGTTTTATTTTTTCATGACAGAGACGTTCGCTGAGAAGCTTGGAGTCAATTCTCACTTTTACGTGTGAAAAAGAAGTGAAACAAATGGGAAAATGTTTTCATTTAGCTTCTGAATAGTTCTTGAATTGCGCACTTAGATATTATACCTAGAAGCTTCAGACCTTCATGTTTGAGGTTTATTAATATCTTGGGATTAAGCAAGAGCACTGCAGTTGGCGATTAATGAAAATAATCCTCATAAATAACACTTGGCTGGTAACTGTGCATGCAGTGCATTGCAGCTTTGGCTGTGTTTCTAGGACCGTCAAGTTTTTTTTTCTTCCTCTGACAAGTTTCCTGTGTTTAGTTCTGTCCGTCTTTCCATCAACTCATCAACTCTGATAGAAAACGTTCCCACAGCATGATTCTGCTACTACTGTGCTTCATACAGGAGAATTTGCTCATTTTACCAGCATCCCATTCAGATCCATATTGAAATCTGTGGTCGTACAGTGACAAAATGCAAATAAACAGCTCTGCGGGGTTTGGGAACGTTGACAAAGCGGAGACAAACGTACAACCTGAGTGGGTGAGATGCAACAGGGCCCACGCTGCATTCAGCTGCACCGCTGGATCGTAGGATTTCGCCAAAGCCAACAGAGGCATCACTCCATCCACCAAAATAGAATCTCTGTTCGACTCTGAACAAAAATAAAGAAATCACGATGAAAACACTTCAGCGTTTTGATGCAGAACGATGCAAAGTTTGCGTGACAACGTGCAGGATTCCTATAAGATCTACTGACGCACATCTGCGCTAATACAAATAAGAGATTTAGAACAAACAAACAAACAAAAGGGTCTGCGTGAACCTGAGGACGCCAGCATGGCCACGCAGGCACAAGCGTGACACTGAGCCATCGGATCCCCGGACTGGAACAACTCCAACAGCGGCGCCAACGTCCCCGTCTCGATCACCGACTCTTTACAAACTGAAATCATGTTTATTCATTCATCAGTGCTTTAAAAATACCATATCTTTTGGACTATAAGCCGCTGCTTTTTTCCCATGCTTTGAACCATGCGGCTTATAGCCCGGCGCAGCTTATGGTTGTGCGTTTCCAGTTTTTTTTTTTTTTTTTTTATTGTAGGTGCAGTTTATAGTTTGGTGCACTCTATACTCTGGAAAATAAAACTTTTTTAAGCAATCTGAACAAAAAAAGCAAAAATTTTTAGAAACAAGTGTCACCATTCTTCTTAACTAATAGATTGACCAGGGCAAAGGAAGTAGTCTTCTGCACGTCCAGGTCTGGGGACAAAAGGAGAGCCATGATTGGTTCCACAAAGGCATCTGGTAAGGGAGATCTCACTGCGACAAACAATCCCAGGCAGGAAGAGAAAGATGGACGAATTAGTGTGGAGATTTAATATCAGGACAATATTGAGTCATCTGATCACAACCTGATAACAAAAGCATGTCAGAGCTGTCCGCGATCAGCAAAATACCATACTTCATTTCACGACACAAAAACTCAGTTTAAATCAGAAACGGCAAAAAAAAAAAAAAAAATCTGCAACAACTCAGCGAAATCTTTTTCCACGCGCCTCAGAGGGCATCGTCAGTCACTATGATTGAGAACATGGAAAGCTTGAAAAGAGGACATGGTTTTTTTCCGCCCCTTCCCACGTGAAGAGATGAACATGTGGATATTTATGCCGGACGAGATACATCGAAAATACAGTTGAACATTTGCATACTGGTCTTCTCCGTTAGGGAGCTTATCTCCCGAGTGGGAATGCGACAAAACAACGGTCACATTTCAACGGCCCCTCATCCGCACCATCTGGAAATGAAATGAAATGAAAGTCCCTACTCACAGTGGTGACTGATGTGCAGGAAGCAAACGGCTGCAGACATTTGCAGGGCTGCGTTTTGAGAGGCTGCGAGTCGGTTCAGTGCTCGAAGGCTCCTTTGGCTGAAAACCTGGGTTTCGTCATCTGAGAAAGGAAAAGAAAGGATGACACTTACAAATGCACCAGGCTAATAAAATAAATGTTTTATTTAAAAGGCCATTTATCATTTTAAGGTCAATAATTGTATGACAGTCCTTATGAATGCCATATGTAAAGTGTTTATTTCTTAATTTTTATCAAGAATGGCTAATAGCTGACAAAAATCCAGGAGTCATGGTATTTTTCCTTCCACTCAACTTTCCGTGATTAGAGCACTCTACGTTGTGAATGTCAACACATTAAAAGGACCAAATGATATAAAGTAGGTGAAATTACAATATAATCGCCATGGTGAAGGTCATGCAATGTCTTAAATAAAGCACATCCAGGTGCTTCTTTTACACAACACTCGCGCATCCTACCACGCATGAGCTGCAACGGCGACGAACCCGGAGCCACCCTCCTCTCTGGAGCGTCCCCAAAGCAGCAGCACCGGAGAAGTTCTCCAAAAACCTCCTCCAGTTTGTACCTGAGCTCCTCCCGAGCTCTCCTCAGCCGCGCGGCGGAG